CCGTGCGGCGCCGTCTCGCTCGGCCGGGGAGCCGCGGACCGGGGATGCTGGGGTCCTCCCCAAACGTGGCAGTTCATCGCCAGAAAAACCACACATTTCCACCTTTTCTCTGCATCTTCTGCATCTCCTTTCCTTCTGCTGGAAAGCGGCCAGCAAGATCGAGGGAAATAAAACCATCTCTCCCCCTCTCCCGGTTTCTTGGGTTGATCCAGAGCCCATTTCCTCTGTGTACTGACAGATCCTAATTTCAGAAAGTTTTGGGAAGGAGGTGCAGCATAGGCATCCGAAAAGGAACTGCATCTTCAAAGCCAGAGGCTGGGGTTTTTTTGCTGTTTGGGGGAAATCCATAGCTGGTTTAACTAGCAGACCCCTCCTGACTTCAGAAAGGCTTTGCTGGTCCCCACATACTGCTTAATCTAACACTCCCATGCGTGGAAAGGATTTCAGCATCAACACTTGCTGCGCTCCAGTGCTCTGAGGGGTTGAGGCATTTGTTTACTGGAGCATTAGGCTTGAAAAATGTAAGAGACATGGGAGGAGAGACAGAAAGAGCAAGACACCAATCTCCATAGTCCCTTTGCTGCTAGGCTTGCATGCGATAGCTTCTCAATCTTTTATTTTGAACATGAATTTCAGGTGGGTTTAATCAGCAACCAATTAGAATTTAAAGCTGCATGTGTACTAATGCCTTTGAGATGTTCCCACAGTTAAAGGGAACATCCAACTTAAATGGAAACAAGTCAGAATCATTTCTCCCACTAAAAGTGGGCGAGGGTACATGCAGTTAGATTTAAGCCCAGAGCCTGTAGATGTTTGGACATGTCTCTCCAATTTTCCCCCTGGACTGGTCCAGTAAACGAAAATCCACCCCACACAGAAGCACTGGACTCCCTCTGCATGTTGTCTTGATACCTAACTCTCATCTTGAGATGGTGGGGGCTCTGTTTCTCATGTAGGTGCCTTGTAGATTTTGTCAGTGGCAGCCCAGTGTACTTAGCCCAAATTCTCTACTCTCTAAGGAGCCGTGAGCCATCTGATTTGAGAACAATGTGGCTGAAATGCATTATTTCCAGTGATCTTCCTCTTAGGATTAAACTGACGCTCATCGTTAATGTGATACGGCTAAAAAGAGATGATTATTTCCTAGCCATGCCTTTGGAGATTATAGTTTAAACAATTCTCAACACATTTTACAGTCTTGCTATTATCCAGGCTATACCTTACCCTGTTACCCAAGTAAGAAGTAGGCAGACACGAATGCACTGTATGTGAAGTTCACCTGGGGGCTTTTCCTCATGTTTTGTTTTGTTTTTTTTATTTCACTTGTGAATTAATTTAAAAGTAAAAAGGAGCCAGCTGTTGCGGGAAGAAAAAAAAACAAAAACCACCATACTGTTCCTTCTCAGGGGATCTGGCTACAAAAGTAGATTTGCTAAGATAGGAAGGTTGTATAATGGCTTCGCTCCGTTCCTCCGAGCACAGGGAAGCAGCACACAACGTGATGCAGGGCCCTGGACCTGGGAAGGCTCCAGAGTGAATAAGCAAAGCAGCTGCAAGTCAGGTTTGAAGTGCATTAATGGAAACCATTGCACAGCGTGTGAGCGGGCATTCTCACGTCGTAAGCTGTGCAGAGGTTTAAAAAAAGACAAATAATGGAAGACCTGTGAAAGAAAGGGCAGTGGTAATGTGGAGAGTGACGTGCAAAGGTCTTGCTGGTCGGAAATCTGGAGCCCTGGTCTTTCGCAGTGGATTCAAGCTGCTTTAGAGCAGGTCTTTGCATCTCTTTGCGTTCATTTTCTGTCTTCAAATTAAGCAGAGCAATGATGCACTTGCTCGAGCTGGCAAATCACTTGTAATAAATCACTCAACGTATTTCACTCCTCTTCCTGTTTGGCAAACTGTCTAAAGCAAATCGGGATTTTTTTTGGAAGCCATTAGTCCTCCAGGAGGTTTTATTTGTTGACTGATTGAAAGCCAGTCCCAGAACAGAGCGACTGTAACCATTTATAGACTAAGAGCCCAGTGTGAGCAATGGTTCTGCTTGGATCATTGCAGGAGAACATTCCTCCCTGGACTGAAACAAGCTTCCCAGGATGAATATTTGAGCGTATTAATTTAACATCTCTCTTTTTGCAAAAGTCCCTCACTACTTGCTTTGAATATTTAAGTTTTAATGGACATTTCTGAGTGAAACTAGACTGTGTGTGAACAGTCAGGTTTCCTTATAAAAAGAAAAATAACTATTCAAACAACACTCGGCATATTTGATTCTTGCTCATATTACTTAACTTGTACCACTTAAGCTTCACAACAACTGTGAGAAGTAATTACTGATATTCTTCTAGTAATTACAGATTGCTCAGCGCAGCACGTAATGATAAGCAGGAAGAGCAATAAGTGAGATGTTCTGCAGGGTGTCACCATGTGTCACCACGATCAAGACGGCCAGGCACTGCACCTCTCACCTCGTGCCATCGAGATGTGAGCTCTGTGTGGCCTCTGATGCTTCATTCTTTAGAACAGGCTATTTCCCAGCTTTGTTTATCACTATCCTTGCAGCTGCTTAAATCAGCCTGTGAATCTGGTTTCTTATATATTCTTCATTGCCAAGCTTGCTTGTTACTTCTGTCAGTCAGGGACGTCTGGTTTGAATATTGGCATCAGCATGCGGTCTGGTAGCAGGAATAAGTCCATTATAGCCACATTATTTAGGTCTAGTTAACACTTTAACTGGCAGACATCCTCTAAACCACACTGCAGCCAATTTTAGGTTTTTTTTCCACATAAATTAAACACCTCTTAAAGCCATCCCCATGTAAGTAAATTCATGTTTTCATGCCACTTCAGCTGGAGGAGGTTTTAAAAGCTACTTGTTGTGGCAGCGACAGATAAGAAAGCTCCGAGGCAGAACGAGATGCTTCCTCTGTTCGCTTGTGGGTCGGTGGGTTTGGTTCCTTCACAGCCTTGCTGTCGGCTCTGGGGCCAGCTCCCCCGAAACAGGACCCTGCTGAGTGTCCCACCCCACCAGGCGCTGCCCTGCGTGCCGTTAGCACCATACACTCTCAGCCCTGTCTTTCAAAAAGGTCTTAATTTTAATGGCCAGATGGCTGCGCAAATAAATTTTCCTTTATTGCTTCTTGCTTTCTTACCTTTGTACCTCTTTTCTGGAGAGGTCCTTAGTGGACCTGGGGAAAGAGGGGAAGTTGAAAGAAATACAATCCTGGTGCACCATCAGTTCCAGCACACAGAGTTAGGCAACTCCTCGACCTAAAATCTCAGGATTTTAATTGCGCCTGGATTGGGCACACACGCAAGGGGAGCCTGGGTGTAGGCAGCTCTCTGCCACCCTGTAACACGGGAGAGAAAGCAGCGTGTTGTCCCGCTGGCGTGGCACAGTCCGTGCTCGGATGGCTCAACTGCAAAATGTCCCCTAAGTTATGGCGAGTGCCTGGGTAGATAGTGTCTGACACATGCTAATGTTTTATTTGCATGGACAGCTGGTGTGAACCCATTTATTAAAACACATGGCAGCAGGCCCTGAGCCTCCATAAACTGTCACAGCTCCATCAGCTCCAAGTTGCTCATTTGATAGGGCAACTCCTTGGGAAGCTGGGAACTCAGCTGGGAACTCAACTGGGAACTTCTCTGGGACCTCCTCACAGATTTGGGTGGACAGCTGCTCCAGTTCTGCTCAGCATCAGCCCACCCTTGCGTGGCTGCAGCTCGCCTATCCCTCCAGATCCCTCGTTTATTATGTTTTATGAAGTCTGCTCATAGTTCAGATGATTTGTAGAGTAAATAACTCTGCATGTGAAACAACCGCTTGCCCAAGGAGGTCCTCTGCTTTATTTCTTCCTACATTTCTTCTTGCGATGCCTTCGAAGGAATGTGCCAAACAGCCTCAGGTCTGAAGGAGACGGGAAGGAAGGACCAGGCGTTGGAGCTGGGAGACACAAGGCACAGCCTGGCCTCTCAGCATCCATTACCACACTCTCTACACACTCTTCCAAGAACATCTATTCAATTCCCATTTGTCTGAGAGGCCCACAAAGTTAACTCGTGCACGATGTTGCAAACACTCCTTTACACTTTCCTCCGGTGAGGAGCACCTTGGGTTGGTGCGATGAGCTTTCTGCCACGACGGCACACGGTCGGTGCTGTGGACGGCAGGGCTCTGCCCACCGGCAGATCTGTGGTGCCGTG